CGGACTCTTTATCAATGTCGGTTGTATGTATAAAAGGGCAGCCCCGGTGTACAAACATACCGCAATCAGGCAAGGTCCGGGAAGGGCCACACTCCAAGGGGGTGTTATATGAGTTTTTCTTTTTGGTCTTCTGATGAGCAGTTAACTGCGGCTTGTAGGGTTTATATTGTTTTCTACGATTCTTTGATTGAATGTGTTGGTTTTAGATGTATGAAGCTTTTAGAAGAATGCTTAGTTTGCTTGTCTCACATTTTTCTGGTCCCGGGGGAGGGGTTTGATTTGCGATGGGTGTGGATACTCTGTGGGCATTCTTCAAATAGACTAAAGATTAGCATAAAACCCATACCAGATAGACATATACTTGTACTTTACCCATACTAAGTACGTATTTAATTAACCTAGAATAGCTACTTACTATGATTGCCTAAGCCTTGGTGGTGGAGAGTTACCCGTATCTGTGTTGGTAGGAGGTAACAAGTATCCAGTGCAATAGTGTCGCCAAAAAAAAGCTACTCAATATGATAGAGCCACTTGCTTAACCAAATGCCATCAAAGGGTGGGACCACAATGCTATGACTCCTGGTGGGAGTGTTATCACTAACATTAGAAGGCTGCGCATCCATCAGTGGGCTTATCTATGTGAACTGGGGAATCAGTACTTCTCTTATCTCCTAGAGATAAAGCATGTCTCTCGTCAGTCATCCTTCAAAGTTCATCCATCAACCTTGTATTGCCATCAAATTTTCTCGCTAGAGTTCCCTATAGCGGGTGTTTTCTACCATTGATTCCGATTACTCTCCCATAATCAACAGACTCTGATATCAAATGATATACTGAAACAGGGAAGGAAATGAGTGCTTCTGAAGAACATATATTAAATTTTTTCTTTGATTGAACTCTTGTAATGGACCAGATTATTGTGTAATCAGAAAAAAGGAAAGAAAAATTTAGGGAGAGAAAGAGAAAGGAGGAAATTGCATTAACTTCTCAACTGGACTCGCATTTACTCTCAATTGGTTTTAAGGAAGTCAAATGGTAGTTATAACTAGTGGCTCAAAATAACAGCCTAACTACGAGGGAGCACGTACATTTTGTCAAGGTTCCAGCTTTTGATTTGAATTGAAATTTCAGGAGGACTTGGATAATTATGTTTTTGCATTCATCTGTATGAGGAGTTTAAGATGTTAATTACCATGGAAGAACATATTAATTTTTTTTTTTGAATAATTTAACTAGTGTTACAGCAAATATCAAACTGAACTCGTTAATTAATTTTAATTCCTAAAAGCATAGAATGGTGTCAGATATCATGTAAATTCAAAGAAGGAAATTTACGATTCTAAGAGGTTAGTAATGTGACTGTAGTGAGGTAACAAATTGTTTGGTTGTTGATAAAGGATGATAAATTGTTCGATCATTAATAAAGGGCCATGAAATGTTTAATTCTTCTTGTTTCTTTAACACTAGTAGCTATAAATCAAGTATACAATATGAAAGTGGTATATAACTTAGGTGTGATATTGAGAAGCTATGTTTCTAGTTTAAATTTGGTCACAATTTTATACTTGATCTCTTAGAGGAACTCACAGTTGCATTTTGTCCCATGGGTATATAATGTTTGATTATTGATAACGGGTGATGAATTGTTTGATTAGTAGTAAAGGGCCATAGATGTTTAACCTTCTTGTTCCTTTAACTTTGGTAGCTAAACATCTAGTAGACAATGTTGAAGTGGAATCTAACTTAGGAGTGATATTAAGAAGCTATGTTTTCTGGTTTACATTGGTTGCAGTTTTATACTCGATCTCTCTCTAGCAGTGGTCATTTTACCCCATGGGTGTATATGCTGGAACTTAGTGTCATTGTTGAGTTGGAGCCTGTATAACAAAATATGATATCTCAGCAAGTTTTGAGATGAACCTGATGTATCACCTACTGATTTCTTGTTTAGAAGAGGCCCTTTTTTTTTTTTCCTTTTTCTGGGGTTGGGGTGTAAGAGCACATATGTCTATTCCATTTTCTTGCTATGTAACTTCCTGATTCTTATTTCCTATTCATTGGAATAAAATGGATATAAACAACTTCCATTTTCCTCAAATAAATGGTGAGTGGAACAATTAACAAATAATTACACAGTAAACCTAACCTGCTCCAGCAACCACTAATCTTGCCCATTTAATTTTTTTCAAATAATTTTGCCCATTAGTTTTCGAAAAGGTAACAAGTTGCAAGGAATTTTGTTTTTCTTTAAGGAAAAGACTACCATATCAAGGAAACTCCAGCCTCTTATGTCTCCTTTAAGCACATGTTGAAGAATAAAGCTTAAAATATATTTATTGAAATGTATAGCATGATGAAGCATTTTTTTAGTGAAATGCTCAACTAATATGCATGATAATTGAAAAGCTATAAAAAGGTGAAGAGGAAAGATAGAATTAACAGCAGCATTTCCCCCAGGGGAGGGGGGCAGTGGCTATGGATTGAAGCAGGAACTTATAAGTTTACTTTTGTTTGTGGACAAATCCATCAGTAGAAACTAATTGAGGGCCTATTAGCTACTTAGGCTAGATGCCACAAAAATAAGTTTATAGTAAGTTGAGAAGGACCTGAAAGTGTGCTCTAAATGGAAAAACATACATTGCTGTTACTTGGACAGTGTTACTTTATGGTCTATGTTTAAGCAATGTCAACAATTGTAACTGGATATACGAGAGGCAATTGCAAAGAGGTTTTTCTATTCACTACAGAAGTATGGATTAAGACTGTTATCTTTTATGTTCTTTTTCTTGGTGATCTATAACTTCTATAACACTCTCTGATAGTATTCAAACAAGACGATATTGCTGAAATCAGTAATTTGAGAATTTTCTTTTTGTTGCTACAATGCTGATTCTTTTTCTCATTTTTACCGGTATAGCTATCCAAAGTACAATTTGTCAAACATTCTATATTGGCACATCTCTTTGGTTAAAATAATAAAGTGCTCCTCTAGCATAGTACACCATGCACAATCCATTTGAAGGGCAGTGCTTGTGGTTGTGATAGTGTGTTTCTTAAACCTACTATAGTACAGTTCCTTCATATGATTGAGCTCAAGTAATTAAACTTCTATGGCAGATTTCTGGCTGGAAAATCTGGTTTGAAGGGGGACTAAACTCTGAGATTTATATGTAGTTGTGTATGTATGATGGATTATTTGTGTATCTGGTATACATAACATGTGTAGATATTCGGTTGCTCAAAATGCTTTCAGTTCTCTATCCAGGAAGGGGACTAGTTAAGCTTTGGTTGCATGGTACTTGGTTTCACGTAAACTTCCGCCGGATAAAGTTTTACATGGATAGAGAAGTTGCACAGAGGAATTCACGTATACTTGTCCTAGTATATGTTTTCTTGAGTGGTTCATGTGATACTTTGTCCAATAGCTTTTAAATGCATTTGGTACAAGTAAGTGCAGTAATTGAGCTGGGAAGTGGATTGCACATGATCTAGAACATTTAGATATGAGGCCAAACTAGGATTATCTTGCATCTCAAAACTGAATATGATATATTGATTTTGCATTCAATTGTTTGCTCAGTTATACCCGTAATGTGCAACACATGATAATACCACTTGGTTTAGACGTAATAACTACAAGATGGAATTATTTTGACACCTTCATATCCTGCTATCTTTGCATAAGTGTCCCAGCAAGTCGGTCTGTCGGAGAGCTATTTGGAGCTCAAAAGTATGAACTGCCACGTTTTGTTTGGGTAGAAAGAATTGTGTGGGAGCAGGGGAAATAAAAAGGAGGTCTGGGTTTTTTCTCTTGGTATGGAATTCGTAGAGAGTGGAATAAAAGTGGAGGGATTATTACCCTTTCGTGTTCTTTTCATCCCCCTCTGAAGCTGATCTGGATGAGAAGTATCTTTCTATTTCTTTCCTTCCGACCCTACCCAACAATTGGAATAAAAGTGCCGTAATCCACTTAAAGGAAGTAAATCATTGAGTGTCTTCTATCCTTTACCATTCCCCTTAGCTTCATGGAGTCAAACATAACTTTTACAATGTGCCTTTCGCTTGGGATGAAACCCAAAGTGCAATCGTCACAACTGAGGAGTGTACTTATCTGATGGCATGTGTTCAAAGTGCAAACATTATGGAAGCAAAGGATGTAGATTATCTAAATGTTTCACTGTAATGTTGTTTCACTTTCTTCTTTTTTGGTCCATCATTTTGTGTCTCTTTGAGGTCCAATGGCTTCTATCCCGATGTTAAATCTGAAGAAAAAGAAACTCACATGTTTTTTTTTCAATAGTGAAACTCACAGTTTTTTAATAATGTAGAAAATGTTAATTGGAAGATTACCTTTTCTTCTGTATATTGTTGGAGAAAAGGAAAAAAAGGTCGTCATTGTGTGGATGTCTGCTTTTTTTTTTTTTTTTTGTAATATAGAGCCTTGTGCATCTTTTAATATTCCCTTTTCAGTATTCTCCTTATGCCTTATAATGAAATGACATTAATTTGTCTAATAGTTACCTACACAAGGAAGTCAACGATTTTGTGTTTTTTAAGATGTACTAGCATTAAAATAAAGTTACCCCAACGTCTCGGATATTGTTAGATAGTTATGTATAAATAATTCTAGTCCCATACGTAGTAGGAGTAGAATATGTCCTGGTCCCATATGTAGTAGGAGTAGAATATGTAATATATATAGGGCTCATTGTATCATTGTTAATAAATAGATTTTTCTCCCGTGCATTCTCACACATAGTTTATATAGAATTCAGTAAACATAGCCTAATAGATTGCTGATTCATTTCTCTCATTTTCTTCCCCTTTCCTATACCTGGTGGGTTCTCTGCTCCTTTTTTTTTACAGCTTATCTGTGTTAGTATATCAAGAGCATTACCTAGAGTACTTAAGAAGAAAGACATGGCAATAGCTGATGAATTGAGTTGGAGAGATAGGTGTGTCTGATATCTATTTAGTGAATCTCCATACTTCATTAAAAAATGTCTGATTGTATGCNCGGAAAATTATGCCGTGAGAGGACCAATAAGTACATGACAAAAAGTAGACAGATTCAGGTACGGTTACTAGTACCTTTTTCCTGGTTGGATATTGGCTTATTTGTATAGCCACTTCGATGTTGGATATATTGATTTATTTTTTTTAGTTGCTTTTGAACCTGCTTTTTTCTGATTCGCAGGTTATTGACAACGATAATGCGAGACATATGAGGCCTATGCCTGGATTTTTTGCTACTAAGGCTTCTGGATCTGCAGTAATTTTCAGCTTCTAATGTTTAATCTTTTGTGTTCAGCATCTAATCTTGTGGCTACAAAGATAGAATGTGTGAATATGATCAAATTTAGGTCACAAAGTTAAAATAACCACCTTTAATTAACAGGATAAGAAGAAGGTACCAAGTAAGGGATTAGAAATGAAAAGAACAAGGAGGGACCGCGATGAAATGGAAGAAATCATGTTTAAACTCTTTGAGAGGCAACCAAATTGGACACTGAAACAGCTGGTCCATGAGACGGACCAGCCTGAGGTATGTCTGCTTAGAGCTCAATTTCCCAATTGTTCCTTTGCCCCTCTTTTAAAGTATGTCGTTCATCAGTTGAGTACTTTCATGGTCTAGATGGAATTGCTGGATCTTGTTTTGCACAGTTGCTTGCTTATCAAAGTACTAAAGAGCTGTTGAGCATCATTCTCCGTGTGTTCTTGTGATTAACCTAAATTTAGATTTTATGCTTGCTTGACTATTTTTGTTACAACAACGGCCTACTATTACTCCTCAGTCCCAAACAAGTTAGTCGGCTATATGAATCTTCACTGACCATGTTGCTTGACTATTGTTGTTAATTATTTATTTATTTTCATTAGAAGGATTTTTTTTACCAGTGGAAAATAGAGCAGAGGATTACCTTCTACTAATGTAAGACAAAAACACAACTCTAATCCATATATGTTGTTTTAAGAGAAATTGATACTGAAGTATCCTGTTATTTTTCTGCATTGAAATAGACCAGCAAACAGCTACCATAGCTCCTCTTTAATAAGGCTGTTATCGTTCTTGCTGTGACCGGAATCCAAATATACATCTCATGGTTGTGTTGAACCTTGTCGAATACTCAAATTCAAGTTACTTCAGGTGTACTTGATATTGTCATTTGGATTAATATATCATCATATGCCACCAGATTCAATTATTTTCAGTTGCCTTGGAAGTTTAGCAGATTATATTTTTTTTGCTTCGAGGCCCTATCAATCTCCTAGTACTGTGCCTGATTCTGTTGGATGCAGGACATCTTTGTGTCTCAAGCCAGATCTCCATCTCATTTATGGTTTAGTCCTTTAAACTTTAAAACAATGTTTCATGCGCGCTGCTGATTGTCTGTAATATTATTAGTTAATTTTTATCGAGCAGGTTACTTTCTCCTTTACAAGGTTTAAGCGTGGTGCGGGCCCTACAGTAAGAATGCCCTTGCTTTTAATAAGTGCCTAGGAGTAAGAATAGATTAGTTAGCTATTTGGGTTAAGTAGACATTATGCATGAGAAGAGTCATGCATTTTCCGAACGACATATAAATCAAAATATTGTTGGAGCAATTAGCAAATTATTAGAGATTATCTTGTTTCAGCATAGAGATAGTTATTCGTGGACAGATGTGAAATTTAGATGTGAAATTTAGATAACTCTTAATTTTGTCTTAAAAGTCAAGTATTAAGTATTGGAATGAAATTGACCTAAATAGAGGGGAATGGATATAAAGGATCCATATAGTACAACTGATTTGCGATTGCGGAGTAGTTGATTGATGTATTACATATTTGTTTCTTCTTAGCTAGTATTAATGTTCATCTATGTGCACTAACTTGTCTAAGGCAAAAAACTTAATAGAGTATATTCTCACCCCTAAAAATGTTTTCAGATTGTTTCCAGACGTAGATGTGTTTGGTATGGAGGAAAATATATTTTGGGAAATGTTTAACAATTTTCCCATTTGGTTGGCCTAAGATTACTTTTCCTTAAAATGCTGGAAAACAACTTCCCTGGCATGCTAGGGGAAGTCATTTTCCATGCACATCTCAGGCGCTAGACACACGCTCATAACTTCTGACTACTGTGCATTGCTGAATAGTTGCATATTCTTAATCCTGACTGGCCATGTGCAAAACTTCACTTTGCTCTCCTTTTTGTACTCCCCCCCCCCCCC